AAACATGACCGGAACGGTGATCGACGCTGATGTATCAGTGGCCATATAGGTGAAAAGGTCACCCCTATAGTATCGAAACTCTCGAGCTCGTAGTTGACCTAAACAATGTAGATGCATACAGGCGCTAAACCCATATGCTTCTCTCGTGTAGTTCATCCATTCCATTCCCCCACATTTGGAAGACGGGTATTCGGTTGATGTAGTTAAACGAACAAATAGCTCTAATTCTGTTTTACCATGTCATTGAATGCAGAATCACCATAATAGTAGTCCTCATTGAATTGTGGCAGCAAATAACCAAGTTCCATGGAGTATTTGATCTTGTATGCTATAGAATCAAGTTGATTGAACAAGAAGCTAATTTGTTTGGAACAGGTTTGACGAATTTTCTCCTCATGATATCAGTCAATGTAGTTATCGTGTTCTATATTTATATGGCAATGAAGGAACCTACCGACAAGCACGAGCCGGACCAGAAGTTTGTCGCTTGTGCAAAAGCTAGTGTTAACCGGCCAACAGGTGAAGCTCCGACCTCTGTGGACTCTGTAAAGAAGCAAGAATAGAATAGCTGAAGCCCTGGTCGAGTCATCACATTAGGAGAACCGAGCAACGAGGTTAGATTATTTTTTTGTATATTTAGTTTCATTGCTATGTTTTCGAATTATTCTCGAGCTTCAATTCTGATTTCAGGGTTTTTATTGTTAACTTGTTTTGACTTGCATATGATGAGATTATACTGATCGTTTGCAACATTGACTTCGTTAGCTTAGTATTTACGACAACTCTATTTATAGAATCAAATACTTGATCAACAAGGAATTTTATTTCATAATACTTCTTACCTAATATAAATATTTATTTATCGAATAAACTTAATTATCAAATAATCTTTAACCGCTTAGATTATATTAAAATCTAACGTGATTATCAATTAGAATTTGAGCAAACTCGTAGCAATCTCCCCCTTATATGAATACTCTCATAGCATTAACTTTCAAATCTTCAACAACTTCAAATTTTATGTAAATTCATTGAAACTTGGTCAACAATAAAAAATTTCCTCGAAATTAAATAACTGTCATATTTATGAACCATAACTGACCCTATTTGTTTGAAATTTTTAAGAAATAAAAATAATCGAAGTGATATCAACATGAAAAAATTACACAAATATAAAATTTAACGTTGTTCGTTAAAAAAATGTACCATTAAAACATAAAAATTACAAAAATTTCAAATCATCTGATAAGCAGACACTGAACTTTGAGGTCCAAAAAATTCAATCACATATATGTTCTATTTATCACACCACCTCGATGTTTACCAAATTTTTCTTACACCTCTATAAAATCTATCTCTCAAATAAAGACTCATAGAGATTATATCTCTTACATAATTTTCTTTTAACCAAAGAGGCCCCTCATCATCCAATTTTACTTGATTTTGGGACAAAAAAATATAAATATCTATGAAGCAAGCAGTAGCAAAGATATTTTTGACTTATGTCGAGGTATTTTTTAGATGTTCAATCTTATATATATTTAATTGTATGGACACATCTTTCATGTTTATAAATCAAAGCCGATCATTTCATAAAATTTATCTGTATCATATTGTTATAGTTGTTATCATCACAACTGAATATTATAATAGTGAATGTAGTTCATGAGCAATGCATCTGATAGTTGTTGAAGAAAAATATGATATTACGAAGAACATAATAATTTCGGTTATTAAAAAAAATGTTATGAACAATGTCAGTTCAGATTGCAACCGAAAATATTACGAAAAATATCACATTTTAAATTACATATAATATAAAATATTATATTTTCGGTGACTTTCATTTATGTCATCTTTTTATTCCGAAGTTGCATAGAGGAAGTGGGCAAGAAAGGAAAGGAAGGCATAGCGGTTGTACTTCAGAATCAATTAAAAGAAAGTAATTATGAGAAATGGGACAATCACATCATTGATGGCTCGCAATCTTCACAATCAAAATCAAATGATTGTGTAATTTGAGCACCCCAATATGTTCCATTTTTCATCAACAGGACTTATTACCTAGTTTCATTGGATCGAGCACCCAATAAAACCCGGCAAAATAATGCTACATAGAGTGTTTAATTTTCATACTAACGTATTCAGTCGATTAATTTCTTAAATGTGATGTTTTTTATAGTAGATTTGGGATCGGTGGGCGTCTTCATGGTTGAATCAGATTTTTTTAGCGTCTTGCTTGAGATCTCCTGGCGTCTTCAGGCGTCTTGTTTGGGATCTCCTGGCGTTTTGAGGGTGTTAAATTATTTATGGGGATCTCTAGGCGTCTTTAAGTTATTAAGGAAAAATTTGGCCTTTTTACACAAATATCACCTTACCATAAATTAATTACTTGTTAGGTACTGTTTAAGAATATTTTACGGATCTAGCAAATTTTTAAATACTTTCTATAAATTTTTTATAAATTTTATATAAGTTTACTCAGTATATAATTCACCTAAAATATCAGTGGCACGTCATTTAATGATGTTTCTATTGTAGCTCATTCTCTTTTCCTTTTACAAGAATATTTTAACACCAAAAAGTATCAGTTAAAAATATACTGGAACTTTAGTATAATGTATGATAAAATATATAAGTTTTTAGTTTCGTACAACTTAATATTAAATTTCAATTTAATTTAATATTTATAAATCATTAAATCGTTATTGACGTGCTATTATTTTATGGGTATCTAGGAAAAAAGAAAAAATATCTCAAAATTATATACAACTTAAATTAAAATTAAATGAAAAATAGTTAACATATATTTACATATAATATATCGAGAAGTGTATTTTATACAAATTTAATGAAAAGAAAAGTGTCTTTTAGCATGAATCTCGTACGTTGTAAGATCGAAATTTATAAGTCCATCCTAAAATATGTGTATGTCTTGTGTTATATTTTAAAATAATATTTTTTTAAATATTTTATAATTAAATAAATTTATAAAATATCAAAACTTTTCATATTATTTAAAATGGTATTCTTAAAATTTTACTAGATCCGTAAAATATTCTTAAACAGTGCCTAACAAGTAATTACTTTATGTTAAGGTGATATTTGTGTAAAAAAACCACATTTTTTTTCTTGATTTCACTCGAAGATGCCTAGAGATCCCCATAAACAATCCATCACCCTCAAGACGTCGAAAATCCCAAACAAGACGTCGAGAGATCCCAAACAAGACCCAAAAAAATCTGATTCAACCCTGAAGACGCTGAGAGATCCAAAATCTACTGTAGAAAACACCTCATTTAGAGAATTAATCAGATGAACACGTTAATTTAGAAATTAAACACCCACTGTAGCGTTATCCGGGCACTTTTGCCAATAAAACCCATATTTTCATTCAATAAAACTCATATAGATAGATAAGCAGGGCAAAACGGTCACGATAATACTTTTGGGGAAAATAATTCCTCAAGTAATCTAAAATATGGGTGTTTTAGATGCATTGTAGATCTAAAATATCTATGCGACTTCAAGGTGTTAAAAAATGAAGACTCCATCGGTCTTCAACATCCCAAGTGAAGACTCCATGATTTAGGTGTGCATGGAGCAGTGTTCAGAGAGTCACGGGCAGCAGCTTTTTTGCTGTGCAATGAGTAGTGCTGCACGGGTAATTTTGCTTTACCGTAGTCACAACTAATGAAAGATTATAACGGAAATGTTAATATTTTTTTAATAATTTTAATAAATTTTTATTTAAAATATTATTATTTTTTTATCGGAAATGTTAATTTTCTATCTAAATGTTGGTAGAAAAAAATATCATTTTAGGTAGCATCAAATATTAACATTTTCGATAAAAATAATAATGTTTTAAGTAGCGTTTTACCGAAAATGTTAAATATTTTAGGTAGCGCATAATATTAACATTTCCGGTAAAAAATAATATTTTAAGTAACGTTTTACCGAAAATATTAAAAAAATATTAATATTTACGATAACGTTTTTCCTTTCACGTATATTAAGATTATTATACCTTAAACATCTCCGTACTGCTGGGAGTTACGGGCAGCAACTTTTTAGCTGTGCAAATGCTAAAAACGAATGGAAATCATGGAGTCTTCAAAGAGTCGCATAAACTAAAATCCGTGTTCAACTAATGTTGTAGAAAATACCCCAAAGTAGGAAATAAAAAGTGGGATGAGTTATCTGAGGAATTGTTTTTCAAAAATATTATTTGAGCCATTTTCCCAGATAGAGTAGATGTTTTAATATTTTTTTAATAATTTCACCCGCATCAAAATATATATGGTGTATATACTACATTTTAAAACTAAAATTCTGCATTCCAAAAAAGTAGAGAATTAGATGATCAAATTACAGTGAAAGCACTAAATTCATAAAAAATAAATACAAATTAAAAACATTTTATAAATTTGACCTAAATTTAATAATTTCTATTATACTTTATATTTAATTTTTTAGTAGTATGTGATAATTACAAGATAATATATGTTCATATCTTTTTAGCCATTGACAATATATACACACCTTATGGATATAATTGCTCGAATACATTAACTAATTAAGAAGGGATTATTTTGTAGTTTTTAATAATCAAGAGACTCGATAAAACAATACCCTATAATCAGAGGATCGTTTTGTAATTTTTAATAGATGAGAGACTCATCAAAGCAGCGCGCTAACAGAAGGATCATTTTTATACTTTACTCTTAAATTTATTCTATTCATGATATTTAATAATTATGGTTGCATTACATATTTAGTTTTATTAAAAAAAATTATCAAGTTAATTAAAATTTAATTCGATTAATCGATCATTTGTTCGATTTTAATTGAATTGATTGGTCGAATCAAAATTTAATTAGATTAATCGGTCGTATAATCCACAACACATGAAGCTGCATTCGATGACAAATGAGAGAATTAATAAGATTTTGTAGTCCAAAACACTGTATAAGTTGAAATTTAAAGAAAAACAAAGAGAATTGAAACACTTTTAAATCAGGATCACACAGCATTTCCTTCTATGATCACAAAAATGTAAAAACTTCAGCTGCAATTTAGAGCAGCAAAACTAAAACCACTCTAGATTTCGAGATAGTCCCATATTTACAGTATGACAAAACAGCTTTCAGTCAAAGGTTGCTGGATTGTATATATGATTATGGTACTGTGAAAAACTAGATTGAATATCACCTAACAAAACAAAACCAACAAAAAAAAAGCAGCGGCGAGAATATTGTAATGATTCGAGCACGATGACTCTAACAAGTGGCGAGAAACCAATCTCCGGCGTGATATCGACATTCAACTCATCAACTTCTCTAATTTGTAAATGCCTGATGGCGATGATGTGCCTAAATGGGCTTGCTTCTTTGCCTTCCATTGCTTTCGTTGAATCTCGGGGCTGCAACAGATGAAAAATATGGCTTAGAAACCGAAGATGAAAGAAACTGAAAACGAAATCAAAAAGATTTTGCTATGTTTTACTCATACATACCAAGTCCATTAGCCTCAGAGGTCCTCATGATTCGAAGCCTTCGAACGGAGCTGACAAACATCCTGAAACATCACAAGGAACCAACGCATACTATAAGCATCATTAGCATGGAAATCGATAATCAAATCAAACTACATCCGATTCAGTTTTTGGCTGCTGCTGTTGTTTTGAATTAAATTTAAGTTTACCAAACAACTTCATATTGATATGAATGGACAATTGGAATTAGGTAAAGCTGGTAACACATTCATTCATATTTCATACCTCCATGGGACATCTCCTACAAGCATCCAGTCTCCCTCTTTGTCTTCATAAGTCAAAACAAATTCAGATGATCCATCCAAAAGCATAGAAGCCATTGCTAATGGTTCCTTCTCTGCAACGGTAAAACCGAGTTTAATTGCATTAGCATCTTAAGACAAAGCAGAGAAAAGAGCACTACAACACAACTAAAGAGGAAGTTACCAACTGAATTAGCAGATCTAAGGAACATATCTTCAAGTGCCTGAGCCAAGCTCTGATAGGAAGAATGAGAATTCAAATCAACTTTCCTTCCTATTGGAATCCCATCCATATTCACCTTAACAAACCCAAGATGGCCTTTCTCATTACCATTGTGATTGAGCTTCTTCTTCAAATCATCTTTGGGTTTGTCTTCTTCATCACCTCTTTGTGCCTTTGCTCGGTTCACCAAGCTGTTCACCCTACAAGTTCTTATGGGTGGCCACCCCACAACTTGGCTGCTTGCAAAATCAAGCATTAAAAATGAATATATTAATACTAGAAAGAATTTCATCAAACATGTTATAGGCAAAGCAGATATTGATAAAAGAAACTGAAACAAGGTTTACCTGACAGCAGTAGGGGAACCACTGTCATGGGAGACAGATTCAGCAGATCTCTTGGTCCCAGAAACAGCAACAGAAGAAGGACCTCCATTGTTGGTTCTTTGAGAAGCCACTGAAGAAGAGAAGTCCTTTGCAGTCAAGATTCTGCCACACTCTCCCCAAGAAGAATTAGAAGCCTTGGTCTTCCCTGTAGCACCACCACCAAGGCTCAGCCCCAACCCCAACTCCAACTCGCTCTCAGCCTCAGAAACAACCTCCACTTTAGACAACACCGCAGATTCATTAGTGGAGACCCCAGAAGAACCGCCACCGCCACCGCCAAGTAAAACTAACCCACCTTCCATCACCAAACAAGGAAAGAAACCCAACTTTCAAAACTGGTTACAAGTGAAGAAAAAACAGAATATTTAGCTAGTTTTAACAGAAAGAAAAGGCTTTTCCTTCGGGGGGGGGGGGGGGGAAGAGGAGATGGCAAAAAGAAGGGAAGATGGTGGAGGAAGTGATGATGATGGGGCCCATATGTCTGGTAATGCGCCTAGCACTCTCACTGGACACCACTCTCTTTACTTTAGAGGGGAAAAAAAGACATGTTTTTTCCCTAGACATGATCATGCCTCTTTAGAATCTGGTTTTCCTGATGTTTGTTGAAAAATATAGAACCAAAAGAGAGAGAGAGAAAATAAGAAACTGTTGCATATAATGAAAGTAGGAAAGTTTAAGGAAGATGTGCGTTAATGTCAGATGTTTTTGGTCTGATTGTCGACATTCCAGGTCTTCTGGGTGTGAATGTGAACTGTCGTTTTTTCTTTGGCCTTTTTTTTCCCTTCAGTTCATAGTATGTTACATTTAGGGTAAACTACACTGGAGACCACTAAACTATATCCAAAAATTAATTTGACTACCAAAGTTTCAATTGAATCAATCAGACTACTCAACTATTTAAATGGTTCAATCAAACCACCTACGGTTAATTTTTAACGTAGGTGGTGACGTGTCTGCTAATAAAATTGGCATAATTCTATATTTGGTCCTTAATAGTTACATATTCTATCAATTTAGTCACTATTTTAATTCAATTAAATAAATTTAACATCCAATTACATGATAACATGTGTCATTAGATGATTGGAGGATTTTTTTAAAATTTTAATTTATTTAATCTAATTTATTTATCTTCCAATAAGATGGTGACACGTTTCACCACCTTTATTAAAGGAAAACAATTGGAGAAAATAAAATGCTACTGTGTGGTTTCGAACCAAGGCCAAGAAGAGAGTTAACGCGCACCTAAACCACCTCCAATTCTTTCTGAGAAGTTATAATATGTTTTATATATGTTACAGTAAATGAAAGAAACATATGAAATTAAAATGCTAATATTGTTCTATATATTATTACTTTTTAGTTAGAAGACTTTTAGTTATTAATTTAGTTAGATAATCTTTGAAAAAAATTATGTTAGATTACAACTTTAAAATATTATGTTTTTAATATAATTTTTTGGCTGAGTGGTTTGTGCCCGTGATCACCAGCCTATTGGCCTTGGTTCAAATCTTTCCAACAGCAATTACTATTTCCTTCAATTATTTTCTTCAAATAGGTGGTGATATGTGTCACCACCTTATTGGAAGGTAAATAAATTAAAATAATTATCCAATCATTTAATGACACTTCTCACTATCTAATTGGATATTAATTTTATTTAATTAAATTAAAATAGTGACTAAATTGATAGAATGTGTAAATATTAAGGACCAAATATAGAATTATGCCAATTTTATTAACGGACACGTCACCACTTACGTTCAAAATTAACGGTCGGTGGTTTGATCGAACCATTTAAATAGTTGAGTTGTCTGATTGATTCAATTGAAACTTTGGTGGTCAAATTGATTTTTGATCATAGTTTAATGGTATCCCGTGTAGTTTACCCTTACATTTATTATTACTGTTTCCCACCATGTCTGACTCTTTTTGATGATGTTTTATCATGTTAAAAAAATTACTAAGAAGGTAAAGTATATATTTGATTCCGATGTTTTATTTCTTTTAACATGAATCTACATTTGTTAAAAAGATGATTATTATATTTGAAAATTTCATGCTATACACATGATATTTAAGTATTTATTGTCGAACGATTGAGAGTCTTCGAACATACACTACCACTTGATTTTGTGGTGTGTGATATATTAAAGAAAAATATTTAAAAACAGCCTTTAATTTTACTTAAAGTTTTGTCTTTTTTTTTTTGTCTTAAGTAGATCTTTATAATTTCTAAAGGATACATGGGATAAATTAAATATGTTTACTTAATTAGTTAACTAAACATATATATGGACAATAAAAGCTTTTTGATTAAAAAAAAAAAGTGTCTTTGAGTTGGTCATTGGATTGACAAAAGATGTATTCTTTTTATTAAAGAAAGCTCTCAAGTAAAAAATAATAAATCTTGATCACGCTTCGAGACCTAAAACACATACATGATGATTAATGTAGGGAGAGATGGGTTTAAGATATCTAATTACTTGATTAAAATTAAATTTAATTAAAAAAATAAAAGAAAACGTAACATTCTTTAAATGATAATTATGATAATCAAAGCAAGAAAATGTTTTTAATTAGAGCTTAGGTGTTGGAATAAAAAAATAAAATAAAAGCAAAGTGGGTTTAAAGGTATCGAGTCTTTTAACAAGTCCAAATAATAATAAAAATATATTATAATTATCATATCTTTTTAATTCCCTATATATTCTGTTGTCTACTATTTCAACGACAAACAGAACAAGACTTTGTTTTATAAAGTTGTACATTTACAAGTGGCGGTGGCGTTCTTGCTTTTTTAATTATCAATAATTTCTAGAGTAGCTAATTAAAAAATATTCATTTGATACATTTTTATTATAAGTTGTAAATTTAATATCTACCTGTAATAACTTTTCTTTTCCCTCCCGTTAGATAAGAATTGTTCATGAAAAAAATATATGTTTTTTTAAATTAATCACTGAATTTTGATTTATTTACCAACTAATATTTTTTTTCAAATTCAAAAATGATTATTTTGATTCATATCCCTTTTTAGAATATTTTGACCAAAACGTTTTATTTTAGGAAAAAAATGCTTGAACATTCACTTTGATATTTTTTTTCTTTTTCTAGAGCATTTTGGTCCTCAATATTTCATTTAAGATAAAAATACATCTATTTTAGAACGTTAATCGTTTGGTAACTAACAATTACTATCCATAAAAGAGCATTTTTGCCCTTAAAATTCTATCCATAAAAGAGCATTTTTGCCCTTAAAATAAAACGGTGGAGAGTCAAAATACTAAAAGAAAAAATAATATGAGCTAAAATGATCATTTCGACAAATGTTAGGGGACTTTTTAGACATTATACCTAAAAATTAAAGGTGAACTATCTTGAGTCAATTTTATTTTGGTTTTGTTTTATTTTAAACACTAAATAACTAAAATATATATATTCTTATTAGTTATGTTATCAATTTGTAATAATTTGATCATTGAATCATAAACTCTCGTGATATTAATGTTGCTCATTTACGACATCACATGGATTCAAAAATTGCACCTTTGTAAACAAGTCCATCGAGAAGAAACTAAAATGAAAGTGGGCTTGTTTCAATGTTGGATAAAATCAAGTTCACAATGTTGAAACCAAGTGATTTCGTGCAAGTATCGAACCTGGTACTATTTAAAAAATTAAGCATGTCACAATGATATAGAGCTTTATTTAAAAATAAAATTATTTAAGAAAGAAGAAAAATAAATGACATAAAATAAAAATAACAAGAAAAATAATTATCATCGACGATCTGTAATTAAAATTAAGATAAGATTAAGATTGCCGTCGGTTAAACAATAATAAAAGGAAAAGAGGAAGACAACACAAAATTTTGAGGAAAAAAACTAAAGTTAGAGAAAAATTAATAAATATATCCATCCTACCTTTTGCATGTGTTTATATTAAATTGTATTTTATAAATATAACTTATATATATATATATATATAATTTATTGATTTAGAAAAGTTAATAAATTAATAATGTTATTATTAAAAAATTAGAACCACATATCAATTTAGATATTTTTTGTGACCAGGAAATTACTCAATAAGCTCAACCCATCAGTTGTTGTTGTAGGTCAAGGAAGACTCGTACCCAAACTCGTATATCATACCTGACCCAAGTGCTTTGAACCCATTTCATAATCAAGATTTGATCCCTTTGAACTGGCCATGCAGTTGTGGGTCATTGTGATCAGTCGATCCGACCCAGGAACCGTTTGAGCTCAAGGATGGATCTAAAGGGCACGGGTGGGATTCGTGGGAGCAGTTGACCCCTGAGAAAAATTTAAATTAATATATATTTTTTATATTTTCAATTGATAATCTATTTCCGTACTTTAAAATTTTATAAGTTTATCCCTTAAAAGTTTAAGAAATTCATTCCCCTAAATTAAGATATTACATCACCGCTTGAACTCTTCCTCCAAGCATCATTGAACCAATGACGACTCCATTCTTGGTCATGGAAGTAGTAACATCAATAACGATGGAACCCAAGCTGCTCACCCTACATTGTGATCAATCCAAAAGTCAACTTGCCAGTCATTTCCTAAGTTCCAAATGAGTCCACTTCGAATCTCACTCCGAATCAAATTAATGCCCTTCCAGAGCCGCGAACAACCTCTACGATGAAGACTTTTCGGAACAAGCTCATGAACTTTGTATTTAGCGCGCAAGACCCGAGCCCAGAGTTGCTCCTTATCTCAGACCAATCAAAATTTCACCACGATAAAAGTTTCATTTTGGACTTGTAAGTGCTTCACACCAAGACCACCCTCAACCATCGGTCCACACACCTCATTCTTTCGGACAAGGTGTACCCTTTGTGCCGCAAGAACAAAGCTATTTTTTAAGTTAATATTGTTTAGATTTTTTTTTGTTAATCTAGGGTAAATATAAGATAATATTTGTCTAAAGTAACTTTTAATTATTTGACAACGAACGCTCAAAACCAGAGACGGATGCATTATTTCATGTTAGGAGGGGCGAACTCATAAAATTTTAAGGAGAAACTTATAAAATTTTAAGGGGTCGAAATCAAATTTTCAATCGAAAATACAAAAAAAACATCTAAAATATGTAAGAATTTGAAAATTTTAGATGAGGCGATCGCCCCCACCTGTCCCCTCTAGGTCCATCCCTGCTCACAACCCTAGCATTTCTTGTGCTCGAATCTGAGACCTCAAAGAATAACAACAATTTCTTTACTACTGAAGTCGCTTGATACGTGCATTTAGAATATTTTTTTAATTTATTGATAATATATATATATCTTGTATATATGATTTTTTGAATCCAAATTAAATTTTCTAAAATAATATTTAATTTTATTAGCCAAACCGTTCATACATTTTATAATTCAATACATGAATAAATAAGAAAGGGGAAAATGTCTTGATCTTCTTCGATTGCTCGATCTTCAATAGCCGTTTGTTAAGTCGGTAAGTTGTTGTTCTTCATTTTATACTTAAATCCACTTAAGCCCAAAAGAAGGTTACTAAATTCTCCCTTTTCTAGATGCAGTGCAGGCGCACAAGTTACCGTAATGCTACATCCAAAAATGTTTCCCAAACATGTAAACGA